GCCTCCAAGGTGCTGCTGCCATCCCCGCAACCTTCCATCAGAGGATTCTTGGTGGGGGCAGCTCCTTGGCAGTCCTAGGCGTCTCTGAAACGCTCAGGTCCTGGAGTCTCCAAATTTAGCAGCAGCGCCCTGGCCTCTTAATGATGTTGCCAGGTGCCCGGATTTGTCAGGATCATGTAGCCTAATTTATTTTAAATCCACTTATTAGTACTAAATTTCAGTTACTGTATTCTTCAATTTTTAAAATTTCATTTTTGTTTTAAGGAAAAAATAGTTTCCAATTCTCTGTAGAACTGCCCAATGTTTTATCTCATGACATTTTAAAGTCTCAATCTGAAAATCTCCTTATCTTGAGCCTCACAGGCCTAATGTTTCTTTTAATTTTATTTTATGTATGCATTATTTCCTTTCCTCTATGTGTGGCTACTTTTGATTGAGTACTAGATATTATATATGAAACATTGTACAAATAATTTGACTCCCTGTTATCTTTTTTCAGAGAGGAATCACTTTTGCTTCTTGTAGGCAGGTGAGGGAGAGCAGTTATACTTAATTGTCTAAATCCATTTTTGGTGACTTTGATGATTCAAAAGTGAGCTAATGATTCAGAATTGTCAGTCTATTTCTGGTTTACCCTTCTTCTAGGATGTAGGGATCTAATTCAACTTTTTTTTTTTTGAGATAGAGTCTCGCTCTGTTACCCACTCTAGGTAGAATGAAGAGGCTTCATTACAGCTCACTATAACCTCAAACTCCTGGGCTTAAGAAATCTTTCTTGCCCTCAGCCTCTGAGTAGCTAGGACTACAGGAACAGCACCACCACTCTGGATAATTCTTATTCTATTTTTGGTAGAGATGGTCTTGCTCTTGCTCAGGCTAGTCTCAAATTCCTGACTTCAAGTGATCCTCCAACTTCGGCCTCCCAGAGGGCTAGGATCATCGCCGTGAACCACTGAGCCTGGCCCCAATTTAACTTTATGTAAGTCAAATAATAGCAATTTAACATTAAGATGTATTTTTGATCAAAAAAACTTTTTTGTTAGTACAATATAGTACCTATTTGTTAATTTTTTTTTCTTCAAGGAAAGACCTTAATATTTGCATAAAAATTAGAAAGATACTTTTTGGTAAAAATAGCTTACACTGTTTATTTAAGAAAATTAATTTTACCAAAAATATTATATATAATTTTTGTGTTAGTGTATTTGTTAAAATATCTGTTAATGAATTCAAAGTTTTCATCAGAATCTCAACAAATTTATTGGCCCCAGAAGAATTTAATCATTATCCTACTTCATGGTTTTGATAAGGGCTAAGGAAAAACAAAATCATGTAGGGTTACACAAATAAGTTTTTCCATTCCTAGTAATGAGGAAGTAACTTCTTTTAGAGCCACTTTGTATGAAGATCAACTAGTAGAACATAGTTGGTTTGGCTTCTAAGCATCGGGGAGGTATCATGGCACGGAGGACTGGAGGCATATGCATAACCAGTGTGGATCCATGAACAATAACCAGTCATTTTTCCCTCCCTTAATTTCTGGCAGTTAGGTAATCTTCAGAATCTTAATATAATCCCAGGGACAAAGCATATTTCCAAGGATACTTACTTGCAAGGAATTGCTTACCAGCAAGTGGTAGTAGAAACCAACAATAATCTAAGAAATGAAAATAATGAGATGTTCTATGTGTTCTATATTCAATTTTATATATACTAGGAATATTTTATTCAAACTTTTGTGTCTAAGTATCTCCTAGAGGCAGTGTTTTTGCCATCAACAGTTGATTTAATTGTTTTTATCTAAATTTGTAAACAAGAGCATCAAATTCTATCTACTTAGTTCAATTATGGACACTAATTTTCAAAAGAACAACCCAGTGCTGCTTTTTGGAAAAGGATTTTGTTCAAATTGCTAATTTACCTTTCATGTCTCCTTTGTCTCTGTGTACTATGTATGCTTTTATTTTCAATTCCTATTCATTATTATCTACTCTGTTGCTTGTTTTACACAGGCTCAAATAACTTATAAATCTGCAAATCTGACCTAGGTTTACCCACAATTCTGCTTTTGCTCTCATTTTCCATTCCCCCTACTGATTTTTATTTTGTTTTATATTCTATTTTATTTGGTGTATCTCTTCTTTTAATCTTTGCTCCTACCATCTCAGCAAACTTTATTCAAAGGCATTGCCACTATCATCTAGAAACTCACACAGCACAAAAGACAATGGAGCACAGAGTTGCTAAGGGTCAAGACCAGAAAGAAATTAGGGGATCATCAACAGGAGATGGTCAAGGAAACACAGAGATCTTTACATTGCTCTGCCCCCTCTGAAGCTAAGAGGAACATTCCCTTCCACGGACCATTGAGTGACTCAATTGTTGGGTTTGTTTCCTTATCTCTGAGGGGAACTGGAAACAGAGGGTACAATTTTAAACCACTTCTTTTCCTTTCTCCACATATGATCAATTGCATCTTAAATCAACCTTGGCCGAAATTTCTGGGTCCTAATCCTATTTCTCAATGTCTATTTCATCATTAACTATAGCTGTAAGTATCCTATCACTTAAAAAACCTGTTTCAGTTCAACTCTGTTGTTGGGGTTTTTATGGAGGCTCTATTACATAGGTATGTCTGATTAAATCATTGGCCACTGGTGACTGAATGCAATCTCCAGTCAGGTCTTCTTCCTGGAGTGGTGGCACTGAAAGTTCCAACCCTCTCTTTACATGGTTGGCCCTCCTGGCAACTAGCTCCATGCTGAATATCTATCTAGTGGACCATCAAGGATCACCTTATCAGTACACAGTATAAACACTTATACTGAAGAAGCTGAGGAAACATTAATATAGAAAGTTTATTTGGGCCAAGATTGAGCGTAGCTGCCCCCACACTTCCAAGTTGCCTTGGAAAGTGCTCTGGAGAGCAAAGGAGAGGCTCGAATTTTAGAAAAAAGGACAAATCCGGCCAAGCCCAATGGCTCATGCCTATAATTCTAGCACTCCAGGAGGCTGAGGTGGGTGAATTGCTGGAGCTGGGGAGTTCGAGGCCAGCCTGAGCAGGAGCTAGACCCTGTCTCTAACAGCCAGGTGTTGTGGTGCCTGTAGTCCCAACTATTTGGGAGGCTGAGGCAAGAGAATCACTTGAGCCCAAGAGTTGAGATTTCTGTGAGCTGTGACACCACAGCAATCTATCCAGGGTGACAGAATGAGACTCTGTCTCAAAACAACAACGATGACAACAACAAAATAGGCAAATCGGGAGAGGGGACAATTACAAAAGTTGTCTGTCAGGAATTCTCATTGGTGTACACAAATAATATTGGTTAGTGATTGGCTATAAATTGTTGAACTACAGAGTGTGTGACATTTAATGGCTACTTAGCATCAGTTAGTCTAGGGCCTGCATAACAAATGGCTTCAAGGGGTAATGATTTAGCTCAAGGGATAAGATATGACTCCTGTTACATTTTATTTTTTTAACTTTTTTTGGAGACAGAGTCTCACTTTGTCACCTTGGTAGAGTGCCATGGTGTCATACCTCACAAAGATAAAGGGCAGAAAGATTATTTAAAGAAAATTACCAAAACCTTCCCTAATCTGGAGAAAGAACTAGACATCCAGATTCAAGAAGCTCAAAAGTCCCCAGAAAGTTTGAACATAAAGAGGTCTACAATCAGACACATTATAATCAAACTGTCAAAATCAAATAAAAACAATTTTTTTTTGAGACAAAGTTTTACTGTCACCCTTGGTAGAGTGCCATGATGTCATAGCTCCCAGCAACCTCAAACTCTTGGGCTCAAGTGATCCTCTTGCCTCAGCCTCCCAAGTAGTTAGAACTATAGGTGCTCACCACAACAGCTGGCTATTTTTAGTGAGACCTGGTCTCACTCTGGCTCAGGCTAGTCTCAAACTCCTGAGCTCAAGCAATCCACCCGCCTCAGCCCCCTAGAATGCTAGGATTACAGGTATGAACCACTGCATGCAGCCTTCTGTTACATTTTAAAGGGGCTCATATTTCTCAGATAGGAAAATTTTTTTCTCATCACTATATAAGATTTATAGCTCCTTGATAAAAATATATAAGCAAGATCTCTGAACCACTGCCTTGAGAGACAGATACTTTTGAACTGAGGCCTCTCTGGAGTGAAGGGCACAGGATGTATTAATACACTTCTGCTTGTTTTTCTCTTGTTAATCTGACTTTTGTTTTCAGGAAAGCGTCTCAACTAAGAATCTATGAGGAAAAGAAAACTAATTATATTTTCTCCCTTAAAGCACTGGATTTATGAACTGTGCTTTTGATTTCACATCACTTCAGGCTCCCCTTGACCTAGTCCAGGAGATTATAAAATATGACTAACCTCTGACCAATATTAGTTTTGATGCAACAAGAACATCTCCTCGATTTTGAAGATAGATTCTAGAATGTTCCGTTTTACAGTACCATTCCTGAACAATGTCCATGGGTTTTATGTTATTTGCTATATTACCCTTAATATTTAAGTTATATTCATTCAACTAGACTTTTGCTTACTTCCTCAGACACTGATTAACAGATGTATTATGGCTTGCATAAAATAAGTAACTAATATAAAGGTTGGTTAAGGAGCACTTAATTTAATTACACATTTAATTTAATTATGGCTCAAATAAAATTCATTAGTTTTCTATTTTGCCTGCTAGAATGAATAGGAATCAGAGACATTTTATTTTAGAAACTGAAGAAAAGATCTGAAGATTCTTGTCAAAGTTCTCTTGCACTTGATTTCCAGATATTTCTCAATTCCTCTTTTACTTTCTTTTATGGCTTTAAATCATTGGAAACTTTAGTTGAAACTGTGACTTCCTCTTCTGAAGTATACTTAATATTGGGAATCTTTTAGTCTTATCAGAGTGTGTAGTAGCAACATGTCTCCAAGATCTGGTCTCTTTGAATGAAGCCACGTCTCTGGGTAACAGCTTCCCGGACCTTCTGAACACAGGGAGCCCACACGATGATGCAAGAAGGACAACCTCAAGGTAGAGGTGAGCATTTCTTTACAGAATATCACAAAGAAAGGTAGAAATGTATGATGAGATGATAAGAGTCATCCAGAGATAAGAGGTAGACAATGAACAGATTGAAGGGCTAATGACTGGACCAGTATATTAGACTTAGGAAATAAAGAGTAATGCCTTAGAGACAGAAACAAACACACATTTTTTTGGGGGGGTGGGTGGGAGGTTTATAGCAGATTTTATCAAAAGTTTAGGGAAACTGGCGACTTACACAGTAGAATGCAAATGGTTAAAAAATCGATTATTAGGCTCAGCGCCTGTGGCTCAAGTGGCTAAGGTGCCAGCCACATACACCTAAGGTGGTGGGTTCGAATCTAGCCCAGGCCCGCCAAGCAACAATGATGGCTGCAACCAAAAAATAGCCAGGCGTTGTGGCGGGCGCCTGTGGTCCCAGCTACTTGGGAGGCAGAAGCAGGAGACTTGCTTGAGGCCAGGCGTTGGAGGTTGCTGTGAGCTGTGATGCCACAGCACTCTATCCAGGAGGACAGCTTGAGGCTCTGTCTCAAAAAAAAAAAATCAATTATTAGATACCATTGTTCTTAAAAATCCTCCGATTATTTTTGAAATTCAAACAGCAGTATTTTTTCAAATTGCCATGGCTTACTTTTTGTACTCTTTCTTTATTCTTTTAGAAGAAAAAAATCTCCCTATTCTTATGCATGAAAATTTGACTTTAGCCTCAACCCTTTGAATATCCATGAATGGTATTCTTTAATTTTTATTAAAAATAATATTATAGATATATAATAGTCATTCATATTTATGGGATATATGTGATATTTTGATACAAGCATAAAATGTGAAATGATCATAATTGGGTAATTGAGGTATCCATCACCTCAAATATTTATCATTTCTTTGTGTTGGGAGCATTCCAAATCTACTCTTCCAGTTATTTTGAAATATATAATAAATTATTGTTAACTGTAGTTGTCCTATTGTGCCTTTAAACACTAGATCTTCTTCTTTCTAATTGCATTTTTGTACTCATTAACCAACCCTACTTTTTGAAAACTTTCAGGTTAATATGAGAGTATATACAATTAGTTTATGTAGTTTGGCTTTTAAGGTTAAATTCTGAGTATAGTCGTGTCTCTTACCCAGGGAGTGTGCCATAGACCTGTGCAAAGTACCTGTTGGGTGGCAACTTATCCACCATCTTCCCTCCTTCCTGCTACATTAATTAATTAATTAATTATTTTCAAGATGGAAATCCATTTTTATTTTTACGTATTTATTTATTTTTGAAACACAGTCTCAATCTGTCGCCCTGGTAGAGTGCTGGGGCATCACAGCTCACAGCAACTTCAAACTCTTTTGCTTAAGCTATTCTCTTGCCTCAGCCTCCCAGGTGGCTGGGACTATAGGTACCCACCACAATGCCCAGCTATTTTTTTTCTTTCTTTGTTCTCTTGTCGTTGTTGTTTTAGCTGGCCTGGGCTAGGTTTGAACCCATCAGCTTCAGTGTATGTGGCCGGTGCCCTAGCTGCTGAGTTACAGGTGCCGAGCTGGAAACCCATTTTTAAAATATTTTTATTTAAAAAATAAGCGTGTGTCTGGGAAGCCGAGGTAGGTGGATGACTTGAGCTGCTTTGAGACCAGCTTGAGCAAGAGCAAGACCCATCTGTAAAAGTTGCTAGGCATTGTGGCAGGTGCCTATAGTCCCAGCTACTCAGGAAGTTGAGGCAAGGGGATTGTTTTCAGCCCAAGAATTTGTGGTTGCTGTGAACTATGATGCCATGGCACTTTGCCAAGGGTGACCAAGTGACACTCTGTCTGCGTGGGGGGGAAAAAGCATGTGTTCAGCTACACTCCCTCTGCCCCTCTGGCAGTGAACATATTTCTGTTATTTTAATTTGGGAAGAATATACTGTTTCTGATGGTATGAAATACACAATATTTTTTGGAATGGAAAAATTTTAATTTTTTTTTAATCACAGCACAGAATTGTAAGCACTATGAATGAGAGATTAAGGTCATTAAGTGCACAACACTAACTACTGTCCAGCTAATGACATTGTTTCTTCAGTAGTTCTCCCAACAAAAACTCTTGACTTGAATATTCAGCAGAATAATCTCTGCATATACTTTATATGCATAAGAGCTTTTATTTACATAATTCTTTAGATTTTACTCTTCCTAATTTTATTCTGAAACTCAGTTTTACCCCAAACAATAATTACCATATTAACTTTGTAATGGACAGTTCTAGCAGCCCTACACCATCAGGCTCTATCCACCTAGAAACTGAGGGAAAACAGGGTTGGTCATACCAATTGAAAAACAAATCTGTCTCACACAATTTGCCAGTGTGTAGATTCAGTTTAAATTCTGGCAATGAAGTATATGGATATGTAGCTATATATTTCAGTTTGATTTTGAAAAGTAGTCAAAGGGAGTTCTTCACAGCTTTGCTTGGCCTGGCTGAAGCTGAAGATTTTGCAACTTCATAGCCAGACCCATATTGCCAGTGATTTTCAGTTTTTGAAGGAAGGCTGGCTGAAGATTCATTTTACCAGTCATTAAAGCCAGCAAGTCAGAGTCAGCCATC